CCCTCGTCATCGTCGGTGTGACGGGGCCATCACCGTGTTCAACCTAGTACGTCTCCCTTCTACAGACCATCGTCTTCCCCCCCTCTACCAATGATCTGATCTGGGCCAATCCTGACCTCGACAGCACCGTCTACGACATCATGGAGCCCACTGGTGTCAACTATCTCGCCTTCATGTGTTGGATCGGTATCTGGTCGCTCATCCTCCACTGGATTCTTGCCATCACCAACTCGTGCAACTGGCTGCGATGGGTCACCCGCTTCCCCTGTGACATCTTTGGCTTCTACGTCGCCTTCATCTATCTGCAGAAGGGCATCCAGGTGCTCGAGCGACTCCCCGACGGACCTGGCTTCTACCTGTCCATCGTTGCTGCCCTGCTCGTCTTCATGGTCGCGTACATCTGCGGCGAGCTCGGGACGAGCGGTCTCTTCCACCATCACATCCGCGTCTTCCTCAAGGACTACGGCACACCCTTGACGCTCATCTTCTTCACCGGTTTCGTCTACATCGGACGCATGTCTGACGTCCACCTGGAGAGGCTACCCACCAGCGTCGCCTTCTTGCCGACGGCGGACCGCGACTGGCTCGTCGATTTCTGGAACATCAGCGTTGGCGACATTTTCCTGGCTCTGCCCTTTGCCATTCTTCTGACCATCCTCTTCTGGTTCGACCACAATGGTATGTATCCTGTTTCTCCCCCCCCCCCGTTTCTGCATGGCGAAACGCTAACCCACCGCAATAGTCTCCTCGCTCATCGCACAAGGCACCGAGTTTCCTCTTCGAAAGCCTCCTGGCTTTCACTGGGACTTCTTCCTGCTTGGCCTCCCTTGGTGTCGCCGGTATCCTCGGCCTTCCTTTTCCCCTACCTCTCCCCCAAGCCCCTTCCACACCGAAGCTCTCACCGTCAAGAAGGCTCGCCCCGAAACAGACGAGAAGGGCAACCTGACGGGCTCCCATGTCGTCGAGCCGAGCCACGTGTTGAGCAGCGCTTCTCAAACCTCGCGCAAGGCTGCTTACGCTCGGTACCATGACCGGCCACTGCTCGTCGTCTCACTCATCCCACATGTGTCTGCGCTTGTCTCGTCATGGCCGTCAGCCTCGAGCACGGCATCACAGCCAAACTTCTCTCTCGTCCGGACGAGCTCTCAACGCGGGCAACCCTTGCGTCAGTCGCCGCGGGTCATCTGATCTTTGTCGCATGAGCTGCTTGGGTTTGCCGTCACGTTCGCCATCACGCAGACAGTGGCAGCCGTGGGCTTCCCCGTGTTCATCATGCTGCTAACCAATAAGAGCCCTGCTGTTGCCCAAGTGGTTCACGGTTCTGGGAGCTCGCGGCCCTCGACGAGCCGACTGCCTCACCGTTCATCATGGAGAACGTAGGAGGCGCATACGGCGGACCAGCCGCTGGAGCCGACGACGTGGAAAGGGCCGTGAGCGCCACGGCGCCGAGGAGGCCGAGCAGGAGATACAGCGAGCAAGAACTGCGACACCGTGACGGAGTGTTGCTTCTCCTGGAGCTCCGAGGCGCAGCAAGGAGGATGTCGCAGAACGGGGCATGTTGACGAGCACGGCAACGAGGGAGGAGCAGTCGCGGTGCGGCCAAGCTTCGAGGGGCGGC